ATACGTAGCGGCGAAGAAGATATAAGCCACCTATCTATCTACACTGCCGGAAGACGAGGCAGCGGCAGATGCAAGGCATGATATCTATGGGCAAGATGAATTTTGAGCTGCTGTTCTCTGAGCACAAAGAGCAAGATGATAATATTTGTATTAGTATTTCTGTAATAATAGTACAGTATACTATTATTATTTCTGTTTTACATTAAGCGGCATCTAATGTCAAGGAATGAATTTGCATGTTCACTCGGCTCATCGTCAGCAATAATCGCTTGGGTGTGAACACAAAAAACACGTTGAAAAACACTGCTGATATTCACACATTTCATTTTTTTTTTTTGAGTTAGATTGCTTTGAAAGAGAGATTGATTTAAGGCTCAATATTATTATTTAATGGTATCACTCAAGGCCGGTTGGGTCAGGTTAGGGCACATTGCACAGTGCACACTCTCAGTTATAGAGCAGGGTTATTCAAGTTCACAGACCTAATGCAATAAGTATTTGGACACTTGGGTCACTTTTTTGGATATCTTTGCCTTGAACAAAATATCAAACCAACTTAGATTATTAAAAACAAATGCTGCAAGTTTTTTTTTTTTTTATTTAGGCATCAAACTTCCCTTAAAACATATTATATATTCACAGATTTTAAGTTTGGCTAAAAGAGAAGGCATGCCAACAGAGAAGTCATTTTCGGTCTCTGTGGCCAAGGAGAATGACAGTGGCAATTTGGTCATTTATCATAACTGACCTGTATAAAAAAAATCCCCACAACTGTAGCGATATTCTTGATGATATTGACTAGATGGGGCTGTTGTAGCTGGGGTATGTGTGCGATCATGTGATTTGCGTTTAGTTCGTTTGTCCGTGTGAATCAGCCTGGTGGAGTTCTGTAAATGTGAGCGTTTGACCTTCTCTGAAGTAGTCATTGTTCTGCTGTCTGGAAGGTTCTTTGTTTTCATTCTCCATACAGATCACTACTTAGCAAAAGGGCATGGAGGTGTTGGTAAAGTTTTCTAAATGGTCACCTGGTTTTAAAAGAGCCTATCCTCATCTTGCCTGCCTCGATATTTATCAAGTAAAAATACATGTCGGATATAGCTTTGGTTCCTTTTTCAATATAAGCATTTATACACTGCTGGGCCAAAAACAAAAAAAGACGTCTGGACTATATGACTGGATCAATATTGCAGTGATTGTTATGTTTAGCAACCATTTTTCTAACTGTAATTGTTGGAGTGTGTAGCTTTTCATTTCTTAAACAACCAATCAGGGAGGAATGATAGGAAGACAAATCATAGCCATATTCCAGGATGACAATGTCAAGATTCATCAGGCTCAAATTGTGAAAGAATGGTTGGAAGGGAGCATGAAGAATAATTTCCACACAAGACTTGGCGTCTTGGGGTTTTGTAGCTAGAGTTTATATCCCACAATTCTAGATCTATAACTCGCAATTACAAGAAAAAACAAGCTTACATCAAGTGGTGAACATCATCATTCAGTTTTTAACTGAATGGACAAAAGCAGCTTTGATATTCTGCCTAACCTTTGTGTTTCAAGGACGACGAAAATATACAGGGTAGTTAGTGACGACAGTTTTATTTTTGGGTCAACTATTACTTTTAATAGGGTTATAAATAACTGCAAACAAACAGCACTAAAGCATAAATAACAACCGTGTTGTAATAATCCATTAAGATGTTTGCAAAGCCATGGCATGATGTTGTTAAAATTGGTGGTCCTTCCGTTTTCGTCATCTCTTGTGACTAAAGATGGTCTGTAGTGACAGGTTTCAGAGAGTCTGGGGGTGTGTGCGAATGACTCAAAAGGTATCTAGGGGCATCTGCGCTGTAATTATCTGTTTAATGATGTGTACATCCAGGGTTTCTAAATAAATACACCGCTGCCTCCTCACAGTGGTGTCATCTGGAGGATGATACAGCGTGTGTGACTTTTCCTGTCTCATAATAATCACTTACTTTACAGTAAAAGGATTTGTTTAAAAAAAAATCTTCTGCATCATTACCTTTTCATTACTGGCAGGGCTAGGAGTAATGTTGAATCTAAAGCAATGTGAGCTGACCTACATTGCTACCCAGACTTATCAGTGTTTTATTGTCTTCCCCTACTGCAGACCCAATTTGTAAGGCTCTGTCCCAAATAAAATAGCATCCTACAAGTCAGCACTTTTGTGACGTAATGCCGTTTTGACTGTCGGGTCGCAGGCTCGGCAAAAGTGCGCATGTCAACCGTAAAGGGGGCATCAAGAGCACCCTTCAGAAACGTAAGTCCATAATATTGATTACCACACAAATAATTTTGACTATGTCCCTGTTTTCTTAAAAGTAAAACAAAAAAGATGAAAAAAAATGAAGTTTAAGATGAAGCACTTACCATTAAAGTAAATGGGGCAACTTGTGGGGGATTATAAACATTGATTCTTCTGTAAAACTATATTATTTTAGCTGTAAAGTTTTAATTTTTAAGGTTGTTTTTGGAATTTCATTGTCATGGCAAACGAAGATGTAAACTTAGATATAGCTTTACACAGAAAAGGATAGTAAGCCATTTGATCAAACTAAAGTAATATTAACACGCATATTGTTGACATCTGTCTTTACTGAAACAGAATTTAAAGTGTGCAGATTGGCCATAGAAAAGGTGAGAAAATAATATAGCAATACATTTAAGTGAAATAAAGTGAAAATACATTGCTGTTGTAACTGACACATTGTATTAAACCTTTGAATATTTATTTAGGGTGCGCAATACAACATTTCAGACCTTTACTGTGAAACCAATGTCATTTTCTGTGGGATAATGTCAATTTTACATAAAAATTTGTTAAACAACTTGAACAAAAATCGTGTACTATGTGGAAATAATGTATAATTCCATCAGATAAGTACTTAATTCTCTTGGACATTTGCTGAAACACTATAATAATATTAATTGTATCATACAATCATATAATATATAATTATATCACTTGCCTGGTGTACCTACATGATTACCAATTATTGCTTTATTCCAATTAAGTTTCAAGTGATGTTAAGTGGCAAAGATTAAGGGTCTCCCTGTTGCAATTATCATAACAAGTTTTAAGGATGGCTCTCCTTGCTTGTGTCAGTGGGAGTTTATGAGATTTCGCATGCCGTTATTAGCGACTGTCGAAACACAAATATTCAGGAGCTCTGGCACACAATGAGCCAGTGGAGTAATGGAATGCGAGTGTTTTGGCTGACCTTGTTAGGTTATTTGTGTTGGAACACAGTGAGTGATGGGAACAGCAGTGCCCCCCTTCCAGAAATGATCCAGGTGTGTGTGTGTGTGTGTGTGTGCGCGAGAGAGAAAAATGGAGACTTAGTCCTGAGTTCAAATGGATGAGGGCATCCTGTCAGGAGGACTATTGTGTTTCCCCATTCCATATTAATCATCATCATGTAAAGGAATAAGACACAAAAGCCCAAATGTAATGTCAAATGTTTGTGTGCAAGCATGTGGTTTGTTTTTTTACACTTCATTTAATATTTGTGTTCTCAGAGGACATTTCTTGCCATAACTTCAGCTTTCACAATGTTTCATTTAGTTGTGAAATAAGTCTACTATGCAGAGGTGGGGACTTGTTTTTAAAACATTGTCTAAATAATTAATCTGCAACGCTTAGCTGTGCATGATGTGTACATCCAGTGCCGTCTGTGTGGGGATAATTAACAATTTCTATTTGCTTTATCGCCAGAACATGTTATACTGCACTTCTTGGTGCTGTGTTGAAGAAAGGGCATTTTGTCATTTTCATTTCTGCTTTTCCTCCCTTCATCGGCAGTCCCACCACGCACACCAAACCCCAGAGCTACGGATTATTTCCTTTAAAAAACGGCATTGGCCACGGGAAAAAAACCCAGAAGCTCTGTAATATATTGTTATTCAATCCATCTGACTTGTTTCTTTCCATCTGTCTCCCATGACACAGATACCTCATGTGTTTGCCTCGTACAGAAACATGAAACACAGAAGAATCGTGTTTTTTGACCTATTCAGATGACTTGACCGAGTACAAACAGGCGTGTCACTAATGCATATTTAGTTTGGATCTTCATTCAACCGATGATTCTACACTAAATCCCGTGTTTTTATGCACTTGCTTGTAGCCAACCTACAGCAGAGGGACGATTTGTCTGTTGTCTGTTACAGTGAGGCTACAGCAGACGGTTAACATGCTGTTGTGGAGCGAGGGCACACTGCTGTTCTCCAGACCTGTGTGTGCATGTGCCTGTGTGTGTGAGGCACTACAGTTTCATTCAGAATGTCTGAAACCATACCAACCAAGGTATGCATATACATTATGCTAATGTTTTTTTTTAAGAGTTGGACAATCAATAATCCTTTTCTACCTGATATACAATAAGATTAAATAAGATTTTTTTTTTAATATACAAAATTTAGATGCTAGCACATTTTTTAAATTAAATGGATGGATAGATGGATGGATGGATGGACAGTCAGGAATATTTGATTGATACATATATATATATATGGAGAGACAGATAGGAATATAGATAGTTTTGAATGGACAGACAGGAATATTCGATGGGTGGGTGGGTGGGTGGATGGATGGATGGATGGATGGATGGATGGATGGATGGATGGATAGATAGATAGATAGATAGATAGATAGATAGATAGATAGATAGATAGATAGATAGATAGATAGATAGATAGATAGATAGATAGATAGATAGATAGATAGATAGATATCACAGTAAGTTTTGCACCATTATTTAACATAGCAATGCCTTTAAAGCTTTATGATTCTGGCAACAGTATATGAGATGTGTGGTATTTTTGCATGTGTTCCGGTCACTCCAGCTCATTCTGTACCTGGCATTTAACTCTGGACGAGTGGGTGGAATTGGAGGAGTGGTCGCTCCATATATGGTCCCACTGGGTTTCCTGTGCGGACCCTCACACACTACCATAAACACTCTTCAAGCCATCGTGTCTTTCTCATTTCAATGAGGAGACTGTGAGAGGAGGGGAGGGACGTGCTCGTGCGTGTGTTTTTTCTTTAACTAGTTGACACTAGCCAGAGGAGACGGCAGCATCCTCTGTCCCGCACCATCTTCAAATTTTGCGTTATGATATAAATAGTCCTTCATATGAACGCCAAAGGATCCGCATTCTTAAAGCAATCTGTTCCATCCCTTTTTCCACGCGTTTTCTTCAATGCTTTGACATCTGGAATGTGCTGTTTTCTTGCAAGCGTTGTTTCCATGCCAGCATGGGAACTGCAGTGTCTAAAAGGAAGAATCTGAGAAATGATGCGATTTCTTCGGTGGCAGCCAAAGTTAGGTGAGTGCCTGCTTTTGTCAACTCGTTTTGGGTCATGCACTGCATGAAGCCCATCAGCTCAGCTCAGCTCTGCATTCGTACGTGTGTGTCTTCAGAGCTCTGCGCGCGCTGTCACTGAACTTACAAAACGGGGGTCTGGATTCTCATTCATGTGCGAAAAGAAAATTCAGCCGTAATATTTGAAGAGCAGACGGCTCATTTTTAAGATAGATGTTACGAATACGAGTGTATTTGTTAATTCTATCTTATCATGTGAATATTGAATGGTAGGCTAATTCACCCAAAATGACGTTTCATTTACTATCCCTCATGTTGTTCTTGACCCGTACTATATTTCGCAGGGGGAAAACATCGGAAGTGTATGTCTTTAAATGCAATGGCTGGTAAATGAAGATGTCTAGCCTCATAAAAAAATCATATGTTCATAAAAGTATTATACAAGTCTAGAGCAATAACGATTATGTAAAGTCAGAGTGCATGACAGAATTCATGAAAGATTCGTTTGTGTTGAGTCTTTCCATTGAATCATTCCTACTTTTATGGCTCCATGTCTGCATCTCGCTGAACCAGTATCAGATAAAGTGTATAATCATTTTTTCTTACATTTTTTTAAAATATTTTTTTTATTTAATAGTATTTTGATACTATTATGATGCTTTTGCATTCTTAATTCAGTTACCAAGACAGGCAAAGAAAATCTTCAGAATGTATCTCTTTGTGTTCAGCTAAATAAAATAAAATAAAACAAAATTTAGATTTTTTGGGTGAGCTTTAAATAAAGGCTCCCAGAACTTACATTTATTTATTTAGCTGACACTTTTATCCAAAGCAACTTACAATTGCTATATATGTCAGAGGTCGCACGCCTCTGGAGCAACTAGGGGTTAAGTGGCTTGCTCAGGGACACATTCAAGTCTCACAGTGGATTCAAACCTGGGTCTCTCACACCAAAGGCATGTGTTTTATCCACTGCGCCATCACACCCCAACTTCATATATTTATTCAGTAATTCATTTTATTATTTAATCTTAAGTGTAGAAAAAACTTTTCTTAAATTAACTCTAATACATATGCAGATGCGAGAATGCTGTTTCAAAATCCATTTTAAACTTCCGTTTTATTCTACAATTCTGCTTGACTACCTTAAGCTATTTTGTTGCTGGTCTAAGATGGTCTAGCCCATGCTGTTGGACCATCTACCAGTCCACTAAGGTGGGTTTTCTAGCAGGGCTGCCTATTAAAGTTATCTTCTCACCTGTTCCAACTGTAGATCAAATCATTGACACCGTCCTTCACCGCTTGCAACAGGCAAGTAGGCACAAGACTGACTCTATCTGTCAATTATCTGTGACTGACTCGTGCTGCGCCTGGTGTTTCTGTGTCACAGTGAATTATATTGTCATAGGAAAACAGACTTGCAGCATTGTAAACTAGAGAATGATGGTCACGACAAGCATTAAATCAACATGTTATTTTAAGACAACTTAGCAGCATGTTTTTATTATTATTCATGAAAACCTCTTATTGATTGACCACTAGTCTTGCCTAGACCTATTCTTGCATAACTAGTGTGTGTTTAGCTCTCATGTGTATCATGTCTGTCATAATTCATAAGATGGCAGGTGGTTCACCTTTTCACCCTAATGTCTGGGCCTGGATCCTCGGGGAGGCTGTGAGTCATCGCATCCTTAATGTTCACATGCAGAATGGTTTGTGATTGTTCTATTCGAAAAGAATAACTCTGGCACTGTCATTCCTTGTAGATAGATGACATTGAAATGACCTTGTCGGCTAAATCCTGCTGTACATACATACAGCATTCAGGCATGGATTGAGGTGATGAATGGGATGGCATTCCTTTGCCTTTGTGTGTGTTTCTTTACCCTGAATGAGCGGCTGTTCAGTATGCAGGGCAGGTTTATTTGTGCAAACTGAACTGCTTTGCATGCTGAGTAGAAATGACCCATGTAACAGAGAACGGTAGACAGCATTAGGCAGACACAACATGTTAACAACATGAATAGATACTCAGTTTTGAGTAATCCAATATAAGCAATATATATGTAATCTTGATTTTGATTAGTTATGATCAATTTCTTGGTGAAAGTCTCTAGTTGATTAGCTGTAGGGCAGTGTTTCTCAACCAGAGGACCGGGGATCACTAGGGGGCCTCAGCCCAGCTCTACGAGGGCTGCAAGGTGGCTTCAAATAAATTAAAATCAGACAAAACAAGGTTTTCATATTTGTTATTTTAATAGTTCCCTCAACAGCGGCCATTTTTATGTACGAACCACGGTTCTCACGATCTTGGACAGTAACTAGAAAAGTCATGTAATAAAAATGTTTCTCAAAATGTTGCCAGTCAATAGATTGTCTTGGAGTCCAAAAAGGAAAACCATTGCTCTAGGGGTTGTCTCTATCAAAATAAAGTGCCCATAAAACTGCCTTGAATGAAATGAAAGCAAGTTTCATTGGAGTAATTCAGACGTGGAACCTGTGCCCTGCAGGAAGAAACCACACATTTGCAAAGGAATTAGTCATTGGCCTGGGGCAGTTGTTACTGTTGTTATAGTCTGTAAATTATAGTTATTTTGAGCAAAGAAAGAGGTGTTGTGCTATAGAGTAATTGTCAGCCGAAGCCAAATTTAAAACCCTGTCACTTTATGATTAGACGCCTGACAGAGAAATGGCTTTTATATCATAAGCTAGTCATTTTCAACACAGATTGGAATAACAGCCCGCTTTGTGCTGACTTACTATTGAACATCTATTTCTGTGTGAAGGCATTCTCTGGTAATCTGCTCTTTGTCCAGACACTGGGTCATGACCACTGAGCTGTTCAAAACCAAAATCTGTAGGCTGACCATGTTCTGTGAATACACACAGGATCAGTAGTCCCCCTGCTGACTCTGACATGCTAAAGACAAGGAAGTATTCTGCTCTCAGCCTGCACTACTTTTAAATTCTTCTCAGCTTGTGCATTTGTAGAGTTATTTTTCCGACATTCTCAGGTTCAAACTAATGGCCCCTATTTGTGTAGCAATAAAAAAAAAAAAGATTCTACACAGAATTACTTCATATGGCTTATCCAATGGGTTATTCCTGTTGGTCTTTCTTTCATTTGTTATTTTTTATTACAGTTTGTCATTTTTAGGCTGAATGCTTTCAGGGCCAGTGGGTCAGCATGGAGAGCCTGGTCTGTACAGTGTTTGTATGCTAATCCTGAGTGATCTGCGGAGTTCCACTTGATGCTCATCCACTCTGATTTATGAGCTGAGAGGCTGAGTCACCGGCTATGCTATCACGCCGTCTCATATAGACAAATACTTGCATTTCTATTTTGTGAATCTTTAGAGGTTTAGAGTGTTTTGTCGACACGTTTACCTTAAAAAATGTTTCACAACATACAGAGATCCAGTTGTTATTCCTGTTTGTAGTGTGAAACCTTAACATCAAGATGGAAAATAGGATTAGCAGAATTAGATGAAGATATCAAGAAGGAATAAGCAGTCGGACTTGTCTTAAAATCATTGGCAAACTAAACTGGGTTTTAAAGCAGAAGGTTTTAAAACCTCCACATTGTAAAAGCCTATTCACATCACAGGCCCCACCTGACACTTCATGGGGTTTTTGTCGGATATAGATTTCACCGATTGAACACGTTGAATCAGTGCTTGTCGGGTCGTGGAATGTCTGAGAAGTGACATAATCTGGTGATTGTCCGCGTCTGGCGTGTGTGGAGTGAATTGTCCTTAATACTTAAACGCATACCTCTGGTCTTTAGTGACCCTTAAAGTCATTCACTACCCTCCTCCTCATTCATTTTTTTTAAGTTAGACATCAGCCTTCTTAGTATTCCTCAATTTCACTATAAACAAGAAAAAAACAATTATAAATGAAAGCCTGTTTTGCCATTATTTGTGTAGAAATTGTAAAGGTTTGCTTACGACCTGAGGTGAGTAACAGTGTAATTATATTTTTTCTGCACATCAATAATTAAATCCTCGCTGACTAAATAAGTCCAATTCAGCTTTATTCCACAAGGTGAGAATGTCTGATACACAATGATAAAGTGACATTTTCACTCATAGTTACCGCAGGTAGAAAACAAAAGAATAGCGTCACAGGGTGACGGCAAGGCACGTCCTCACGCCGTAATGAAATGACGGAGAGGGGGATCGGAGGAGGTTCAGGTTGTGGACGAGACGAAGTGCCAAAGAGAGGCTGGAGTGGCAGATGTAGATGGCCTGGTGGCGCAGACCTAGAGCTGTCCAGTACCAACAGCCCACGGTCTCTTGGAGACCTAGGCGTCATCGTGGCGATGAGTACAGGAGGTGGAGCCAGTGTACCTGAGAGCAGAGGTGGAGGTGGAGTGAGGGAGGACAGAGGTGACGCCGAGGGGAAGGAGGAGCCTGCTGTAGCAAAAGGGGTGGAGGGACGGAGTGTAGTGGACGGACCGTAAGGCTGGAGGCGGAGCCACGAGATCCTCATGCCCGGGTGCTGTGGATGGCGGACTGACCTGCATCTCGAAGTCAGTGGGCCTCCCCGGAGACAATGTAGGGCAGTAAACATCAGTGGCGGGGCTGGAGGACTGGCTGAGCTGGGTGTTAAGGTGATATCATACAGGTTAAAGGTTTAGTTCACCCAAAAATGAAAATTCTGTCAGTATTTACTCACCCTCATGTTGTTCCAACCCTGTAAGACCTTAGTTCATCTTCGGAACACAAATTAAGATATTTAAGATATTAAGATCACTCCTGCATACTACACTCTAAAAAATGCTGGGTTGTTTTAACCCAATTTTGGGTCAAATATGGACAAACCCGAAATGTTGGGTTAAAAATGTAATGTTAAAATTTAACCCAACGGCTGGGTTAGTCCATATTTGACCCAAAGTTGGGTCAAAACAACCCAGCATTTTTTAGAGTGTAGTCCATAGGCTTCTTGAGGGAATGACTTGCTGTCCTCGAAAAGTCATTAAAGACATCGTTAAAATAGCC